CAGCTTCCTCATTTCAGTGAGGTTCATTCCCACTGGGGAAAGACAAATTCTCAAGGGTGAAAGACAATTAATTTTCCATGCATTTATCTACTAGCAACTAGCCTCAAAAATAGGAATTTTCATATATGTCATTGAACACACGTCAAATGGGAGCATCACTCTTGGCTGCTCTGAAGATGTAAATTTCAACGAGAGGAATAAATCACTCATTGTTCCATTGTATGGATGCTTCAGTGCCCACGGCACAGCAAAGAAAGGGAAAATCTAAGTGGGAAAATCCATACATCCACAGTGTCTGGTGTGTACATACCAGACTTTTGGGGCCCCAGCTGGGTAACCTAAATTCCTGCAAAAGTCTCTGCTCCTCCTGTTCCCCAGTGCCTGGCTGTGGGCCTTTGGCTGCTCCCAGCTAACAGGAAAAGAACCTCAGGGAGCTGGCTACATCCTCCCATAGATACTGGCAGACTGGGGTTTTTACAAATCCAAAGGAAAGCAGCAATCCAACACTGTGCAAGATACCAGGGATCTCAGCAGTCTGTTTCATCTGTAAGAAAATGCTACTTAGGGTCAAGGAAGGAGGAGAGCAGGAGCTGGAACTCGGGAATTTAAATCCGTGCCTATCTTGCCAGAACATCTCTCATCTGCAAAGACACTTTGAGCTAACTCAGATAACTATTTCTCATTGTTTTCGTGTCATTCAGGTATCCACCTTGAAGATATGGAGCCAAGCCTCTCTACAGCTTGCTTTCTTTATCACAGCCTCCAAATAATGACATGCAATAAGAATATTTCTTTCACCTTTAACCTGCTCTTCAAAACTGTACCTCTCCACCGGAACAGCTTCTCATCTCAGCTGGAAACCACAAATTGCAAATACTCCATTTATCACCAATGAAGCAAACACAACAGCAACAACGACATAATCAAATAAAACGTTGATGAAAGCACAGCCAGGCACTAGCAACACCTACTAAGGACAGAAAAATGAACGGGATTTGGCTCAACACCTGGGCATATCCATTAGTTTCAGGGCAGGGCTTCTCAGGGCACAAAGGCAGAACTAACCTAATCCAGCATCTCCCAGGTCTACTCCTAGCTCTGTCCTTCCTATGCATCTAGGGAAAGCAGGAATAATTCTATATCTGATGAAGCTGTTTAACAAGGGCCAAACTCTTATCTAAAGTCAACCTGAGCAGTACAAAGTTTAATCACAGATTTGCCTTGAAATAGCCCAATGAGGATCCCGAGACTCATGCAATTTGCAGTGCTGCTGTAGAAAGAGAAGGAAAAAAAGCCACCTGAACTAAAGCAAACCTCACTGACTGGGCAATGGCATCTGCCATTCCCAGCTGGGGAAGTGCCCTGGGATTCCAGCTCTGTGCTCGTGCAATCTAGGATGAGCAGTGATGTGCACGGGGATGTTTCCCCTGTGCTGCTCTCCAGGTACAGGCAGGGACAGCTGCCAAGAGGGACTTCCAGTGGGGAAAGCCCCTCTGGCACCTGGGAACAGAGCAGGGCTTCTGCAAGGCACATAAAACCTGCACAGTCTGTGCACATCCCCACTGCAAGCACCAGAGCAGGATATTGTAATCCTGTGTGACCTCAGGGCAGCCTCTCTGCTCTGCCCATGGAAAATGGACACGAGGACAAATCTGGTGAAAAGGAGTGGAGAAGCCACCAGCCAAGGTGAGCAGGGCCAGTTTGGCTGTGTCAGAGGGGACATCACTGGAGAGCAAAGACAAGTTACAGCAGATGCTGTGGAGTGGAGTCAGGTCATGAACAGTGAGTTCACAGGGGACACGTGCCACCAGTTTAATCAAGTCACCCGCAGAATAACCCCTGGTGCTCTTTCAGCATCACACAAAACTGAAGCAGCAGAAGCAAGAACACAGCTAAATCTCAGTGAAGCCTTTCTGGTGTCTGGCAGGGACTGTCCCATCTCCTCCTGAAGAGCCTCCAAGGCACCAACCATCATCCAGCCCCTTCAGTGGGACCCCTGGCAGTCCAAAACCCACTGCCCCCCACAGCTTACCCACTCCCTAGAGGAGCTCCTCCCTCCACACCAAATGAAAGAAGTGTCACATAAACACGCGGGGTTTGGGATTTGTGGTTGTATGGAGCTTGTAAAGCAGATAAATAGATCCAGCTCTGCCTTTAATGAATTGCAGTATTTTAAATAAAACCATTATAAAGGTATTACTGTATGTAATTTACTTTAGAAATAACAGACAAGTAAAAACACTTTTGCCTAAATAAACTCAGCAACACTAGGCTCTGAAAAAAACCCTAAGCAATCTGTAAAAACAATTAGGGTTCAATAACATTAACCACCTCAGGATGACAAGCCATTATATTGTAGGCAGATTAGACACATTAGCTATTAGTGGCTCTAATGATGGTCTTACTCCTATTTTGACCACTTTGCAGCTTAAAATTGAGCAGTTTTACCATCTGACTGCCAGAATATTCAGCATTTGTCAGGCTGTACAGAGAGGAGAAGGAAGCAGCAGTGGAGATTGGGGAGCTACCAGCACTTGGTTGCCAGGTTTCAACCCAGACTACCCCAAATTACCCCGATGGTTTTGTTGAACTTGCTAAGTCACTTAGTGAACTCATCTTTGCTCCAGGTACAGAAGGCAAAGGGGGAAGGAAGATTCTTTCTGAGGTTTGAAAGATATGATTTCATCAAATTAATTACCCAACTTCAGCAATAGGAGTCTGGTGAGTTTACTGGAGGAGAAAGTTCCAAACCTACCAGGAGTTTGCTCTGTGTAGTGAGAACCTGGTTGCACAATCCCACAAATGACACTCTATTACACAAAACAGTACTGGATTTTTAGCCCAGATTAATTCCAATTTTTGCTTCAAACTGAGTGAAACCAAAATTATCTGTTAACCAGAGTGTGGCAGGAGGGCCAGGGAGAACAGGAATTAACACTGTCCTTAAAAAATATTTTATTAATAATACATTAAAGTACTTGAAAGTTCACATGCAGGTTTTCTGTGATGCTCTATCCCTCCTTTCCCATCCCAACAGAGACTGACACTATCTGGAATTTTCCAGCAGAAAGTTAAATTTGGATTTTTTTACAGCTGGCTTGCTTAGGGACAGCAGGACCAGAGCAAAGAGTTTTTGTTAATCTCAAATATACAGCAGCTTGCCTCACATGGCCTTCAAAATCTTCTATCATGAAGAGAAGCAAATTAAAGCAGCAAAAATAGAGTTCTACTTCACAAGTGTTGGAATAATACAGTTTACTATACTCACTACATATCTCCACCATACAATTTCTCTTAAAAACTACTTTTAAAGCAGATTGATTTAAAGTTCATTGTTTAGTGCTATAGCAACTCATCAAGAGGCTCAGACAAGAAACAACAGCTCCTTTTATTGCATGAGACTCTCTTCAATAGCATCTTTGAGATAATCACTATGCTTAGAGAGTAGAAAAACATATGGGCAAGTGGAATAGCTGATAAGCCACACAGAGTTTTTGTTACTAAACCATGTGGTACAAATGGTCTAAAACTGTTTTGTAAACTGAAACTGCAGCAGCACCACCAATCTTCAAACAACATTTGGTTTACTGAGATGACAACTAACAGACCAAACTCTCTCCTACATAACCTGTGGGGTAATTAAAAAAAAAAGCTGGATTCATCTACCCCCAAAAATGGGGGTCTTTGGTGCACAGGATCAAGATTAACTAATAGTCAGGAAGATCATCGTAGCTTCTAGTGTTAGTTAAGTGCTTTAGGAGAGGGATCCTGCATCCGTACCTTATTGCTATAATAATTGCTATAATATTGCTAATATTCTGTATTAAAGGGAGGAGTTCTGCCAGGCCTGCTTATCACCCATCATTGCTCAGATTTCCTCCAGGCATTGGGGGCTAACCAACAAATGCGCGTTTCAAGAACCGTAAGGTTTCTGTTATCCCAGCAGAGAAGATACTAAGCTTGACATTAACATAGGCTGCAGTTCACGACAAAGGCGAATACATTCAGAAAATACTGAAGAACTTGAAATAAAACTGTACTCCACTTAAAAACAAACAAAAATATTTTTAAAAGGGAAAACAAGTCCTTTGAATTTCGGATCTGATTCATTTTACTAAAGAGGGTTTTTCTGGAGGTAGTCTGATTACCACTCACTCTGATCTTTAATTTTCCAGTTGGACAACAGGGAGAAAAAAACGCAGCTTCCCTCCGGGAAAAGGAGGGAAATCTGCCTCTCTTCCAGTTGCCTGTATTTTACCCAAACATGTGAGAAATTTTTGAGGGGATGCAAGTCTCCCCCGCAGACGCTGTTAAGGGAGAGCCATTAAAGAATCCTGCCCACCGCAGGGACCCGGCCGGCGTTCGCCGCCGGCAGCTGCGGGGCCGGGCTGCAGCATCGCCCCTCCTGCGCAGCTGGGCAAGGCCGAGCGGCCCCGAGGACTATCGCCATTTCCCAGCCTCGCCAAAGGCAGAGCGGAGAGCAAAGGTGCCTTTTCACGTGGCTTCTCTCACAAACCGCGGAGAGCAGCGCGGAGCTGCCGAGCGGCTCGGAGCTGACACGGATGCAGTCCGCGAACGCTCCCGGCGCATCCCGGGGGCCCCGCCAGCCGGGCTCCGTCCTGCAGCCCCGGGCTCTGTCAGCAGCCGCGGCCGCTGCCGGTGCCGCGGGTAGCCGGCTGGCGAGAAGCATCCCATTGTGCCGGCGGCCGCCGCACCCTCGGAACCTCGCCGCCCCGGCGAAGGGTCCCTGCGGGGATGAGCCTCCATCCCCCGCGCCGAGCCCCTTCTCCTCCCCGCGGCCAACGCAGCCACCCCAAGAAAAGTTTTGCCGGGCAGAAGGGGCCCTGCCCGCCTGCCGCCCGCTGTGGCAGAACAAAGGGTCGGGGAGGAAAGAAAGAAGTTGGGGGCTCGGCGGGGCGGGAGCGCCCGGGCGGGCTCGGGCCGCGGCCGGCGGTCCCCGCTGCCCGTCCCCGCTGCCCTTGGGCCGCGCACGGCGGTACCTGAACAGCGCGACCGCGGTCTGGTTCCTCCTCCACGCCTTGCCCTGCTGCAGCAGCACGCCCTGCACGATCTCCTTCTCGTCGGGCAGCCGGTACACGGGGAACACGTAGAGCCAGCAGAGGACGAAGACGCCCAGGGCGCTGGCGCCCACGGGCAGGCGGGTACGCGGCCACTTCCACGCCAGCCCCGCCATCCTCCTCCTGCTCCCGCAGCGCCGCCGCGGCTCCGGGCCGCGCTGCCACATCAGGCCCGCGCCATGCGGAGCCGCGGGCGGGGGCCCGGCCCGGCTCGGCCCGGCCCGGCTCAGCTCCGCTCAGCCCCGCCGCCGCCCGCCGCCATCGCCGCCGGGGGAGCGGGGCTGCTGCTGCCGCTGCGCCGCGGCTCGCTCCTCTCGCGGCGGCGGTGGCGGCTGCCGCCCTTCCTCACAGTCATTTGGTCCCTCGCGTTCCCCGCCAGATGATGCTCCGCCGCTCCCCGCCCTCCCCCGCCTCCTGCCGAGCCCCTCGCTGAGGACCGACCCGGTAAATTTCCACCCCGCCCCGGGGCGCTCCGGCCTCGCTGCCCGGCCCGGAGGGAGGCAGGGAGGGCGCGGGGAGCTCGCTGCTGTGGGGCTCCGCTCCGGCGCCGCGCCCGCCCCGTTCGGCGGGAGGAACGCGAGCAGGGAGGTCCCGCTCCGGTTCCGCCGCCGGCTCCCACCGGCCCGCTCTCCCTCGCTTTCCCCTTCCCTGGGAAGGGAGAGCGCCCGGCTCTCTTCCCCGGCAGATGCCGCACAGTCCCCAAGGCGCCCTGGCGGGCACCGACCCCCGCCCGCCGGTGCCCGGCCCGTCCTCCCCCAGAGCCGCCCCAGCGCTTCCTACCTGCCCCGGCTTCCAGCCGAGAGCCCCGGAGCCTCCATCACCGCGCCCGCCAGTCAGAGCGCGTCCCTCACGAAGGACATCCTACAGAAAGTACACGGAGCCATCTGTGGGATGAGGTGCCTGAGGAGAATGTGGGGAACCTCCCTCACGGCAAACCCCGTTCTGAGCGTGCCCCTGCCAGCAGCGCCCAGTCCGAGCTGCAGCGGCTCTCACGAGGAGCGGCTGAGGGCACTTGCTCTCTTCAGCCCGGAGGAGATCGGGGGGGACACCTCGCAGCTGTTCTGAGCTTCCTGGTGAAAGGGAGCAGGGGGGCAAGCACCCATCTCATCTCCGTGGTGACCCTTGAAAAGACCCGAGGGAATGCCATGAAGCTGTGCCAGGGGAGGTTTGGACGGGATATTAGGGAAAGGTTCTTCACCCGGACGGTGGTGGGCACTGTAACAGGCTCCCCGGGGACGTGCTCGTGGTTATCAACCCTCACAAAGTTCTTCATGAAGCATTTGGAAAGCACGAAAGCACTCTCAGGCACGCGGTGGATTCTTGGGGTTGTCCTGTGCAGGAGCAGGAGTTGGATTTCGATGATCCTTTTGGGTTTCTTCCAGTTTGGGATATTCCATGATTTCCTGTGCCCACCAGGGTGGCTGGGTCAGTGAGGAGGGCACAGCCAGGGTCACGCTCCCGGTGGAGTGTGGGTGGCTGGTGGCGCTCCAGCCCTCGGGGGTGCTGAATCCATCTGCGCACCTGGATGAGGGTGCCACCTGCACAGCCCTCAGCCCTCCTCAATCACCAGTGCCATCGTTTCGTGCCAGCAGAGTGACCCCAGCAGCAGAAAGCAGCTCTCTGATAACCAGGGAGACTGAAACATGGGTGACACCTTCAATTCCTCTCAGCAGCTCAGTGGCAGATCCTGCTTTCAGAGCCCACTCTAGTCCCTGGCACAAAAGGCAGATTGAGCCCGGCTGGTACCGTCCATTTGTGTTCTTCATCTCCAGACACCTTTCAGATCCACTGAGAACACTGCAGGCTACCACACAGCCTGAGTTAGTAGCCAGCTGCTTTCCAGACTTTCAGCACATGGAGTCTTGGCTATTCCGGGGTGACTTTCAGGGTTGAGTAGTAATTAAGGGAATTAAGGGGTAATTTGGTGGAGGAAGGAAATCAAGATGAAAGTTTGATACAGTTAGTTTGGTATCTCCTGGCAGTAACTCAGCAATACAATACCATAAATAATAGCTGGGTGTTTCGACAGTGTTTTCAGCTAAAGATCCCCACATGCTTAGTTCTCAGTGAAAAAATAAACCTGGAAATCTCAATGCACTTTCAGTGCTTGAGAGAAGGAATAACATTCTCATTCACAGCGTGTTGCTGTGTAGAAATATACACTGACAAACAGAACATTTACTTCATGGTGTCGAATGAACATAAAAATGCCAGAAACATGTAATTGCAGAAGAAATATTATTTTCATTCATATTTGATATGCTACAGTTGTCTGGAGTGTTATCCTTGTTACAAGTGTTAACCTTGCTTACAAGCAAATAGCCTGAAATACCTCAGTGACACTTTGCTGAGAAGATACAGAGACGTGATCAACAATCCATATCTTTAAATTGAAGCAGAAAATTGATATTCAGGCATGACTGCACTCTGTTGAACACCATTTTAGTGAGAATTGATGGTGAGTTGAACCTCACCTCCATTACTCGGTTCCAAGTGAGATCCCAGACAGAAGGGCCAGGTAATCCTGGGCAGGGTCTGTCCACTACAGCAAAGGAAAAAATAATAAAAAAAAAGTTGTTCTGAGAGGTGCCTTTAAAAGGCAGCACAGAGAAAAGCGACAGTGACAGCATGGAATTAAACAGCGTTTGAGCTCTCAGGTGACACAGCGTGACTATTCCCGGATGGAAGGAAAACGCCGTGCTGTGGTTTGCCCGGTTTTCCCCCAAAATGCAGCAGCAGGATCCCCTGCGTTCCCTGCTGCATTCCTGCACTGGCCCTGAGGGTGGAGCTGACACTCTGCTCCAACAACGCCTTTCCCCAGCCACAGAATCCAGCTTTTCTTCTTTCCCGTGCTCCCAGCCCAAAACACCGGCGAAGATGAGAACCACATCCGTCAAAATATCCAGTTTTTCCTGCTTTCATTTGAGTATCATGTACTCCTACAGGCATCCCCTGTACCTCGTCTTTGCACTCTCTCAGCTCTCACTTCCAAAATAACAGGGAATTTCCCTCCACTTTAGCATCCCACACACTTTCTGTTCTGCAGAATTTAGCAGAGGAGTTGCACTGGAATCAGTTTTCAGGGTATGGCATTCTTTTAGTTGATGAAAATGTCACCATGCCATATACCTGGCAAATCCATTATCTTCCCAATGCACTCAGTTACCACCTGACTGAAATCCTTTGCTCTGTGCTCTGCCCTCTGTTCTGGAAGTATTTCATGCTATGTTAGTAGTGTCTATGTGAATTTTGGTTTTTTTTTTTTCGGGGGAATGTGGCTGTGGGGGAAATATGCGCACTGTGTGTGGCCCCCGGGGTTTTTTTTCCCTGTGCTATATATCCCGTGTTCTTTTTTTGTGTGTTTTTTTTTTTTGACCCAATGTACAACACAGAAATATTTAGAAACCATCACCTGCCTGGACTATTATTGTAGGCCAGCTTTTGTGTGGTGTCACCTGTGAACAGGCTGGTTTCTCTGAATTCCTTCTGTTCACACAGATCTAAAATTGGCATCTAAATCTCCTGTATGACCAGCACAAACACTGAACTGTATGAATGGATGCACAGTTGCCCTGTTGGCAAATTCCCATTATGCCTCCCCCTATCAGAATTTACTCTGCACCTCTATTGGAACCACCCACAAATGCATAGTCTCACTGCTAAAGCATTTTAAGCCCCTAAACAGACAGCTTTTTATAATCCTGTTAAAGGAGAGAATTGTAACTACAATATCAAATTAATTCCTGCAAAGTCCTGGTGTCCAAAAGCTAACCAGTTTTTACCTGGCTTGTAGCAGTGGTACCAGTCCTCTGAAAAAACACCAGCTTTGCCACATGTTTTCCCTTCAGCTGCCATGCTGTAATAGTGCAATTACTGTGACAACAGCTACAGTCATCCTTCCAGCTGCACAGAGGAGTCAGAATGCACAAGAATGGAGCATAAAATGGGGGGAAATGACTTACTGATGGAAGACAGAGCTCATTCTCCAGAACTGAGAACCTCTTCTACCAGCAGTGTTGAAAGGACTTTCAAAACATCTTTTTATGCCAACAGTGATGTTGGCTGGTAAAAAGGTGGAACAAGAATGAGTGAAAACATGCAGGAATAATTGACAAGGAATGTGTCAAGGCATTAGCCACAGGTACTTTGCTTTTTGGTTCTGCATGGAAAGAAGGTTTTCTCATAAAATTGAATTTTATGTGTTCCTACACAGGCAATTTTTACAACCTTACCCTCACTGCTGTACATTACTGAAGTACCTCTAGGGAAGGATAAAAACCAGACTTCTGTTGTACAGCACTGGCTTCAGTGTACCTCTTTAGTGTGTTTTAATGCACATAAAAATGCCCACGTAAGACGTGGGTGGGCAGGAGCACCAGTAAGGTGAGGATAAGTAAGAATTTGGGAATTCTAGGTGAAATTCCTACCTGTACAGCCCTATGAGTTTGTGCTCACTGCTAACAGGGGTGAGCTGTGCTGAAGGTAATGGGCTCGCTCACAAAAACAGCTACTCAGCAGCGTCAGAGACTTGCTGGGGCAGTATCAATTAAGTTCTGCTCAGCCTAGAGAAGAGAAGGTTGCACGAAGACCTCATGGCAGCCTTCCTGTATCTGAAAAGACCTAAAAGGAAGCTGAAGAGGGACTCTTCATCAGGAACTGTAGTGGTGGGAAAAGGGGGGATGGTTCAGACTCAAAGAAGGGGGAAATTAGGTTAGATTTACAGAAGAAATTCTCTACTGAGAGGGTGGGCAAGCCCTGGCACAGGTGCCCAGAGAAGCTGTGGCTGTCCCTGGATCCCTGGAAGTGCCCAAGGCCAGGCTGGATGGGGCTCTGGGCAACCTGGGACAGTGGAAAATGTCCCTGCACACGGCAGGGGGTTGGAACTGGATGATCCTTAGGGCTCTTCCAACCCAAGCTATTCTATTACTTTGTGTATTAGAACTGACATGCCAAAGATATTGTGGCTGGAAGGTCCTATTGTGTAATGCACAATTTGTGCAGGAAGAAAATGCATATAAAAGGCACAATAGAACACGCACACCCACACGCACAGAGATACAAGCACATCTCTGAAGCAAACAGGCTCTTCCCTTCTAAGAGTAGTTCATTTTCCTTGGGAGCTGGAACAGATTCTGACCTCATGTCTGACATTTGCAGAAGTTTCAAT